TATATATATGATTGTATTGACTTGGTAATAGTATTAGTATTCCCCTATCACTCCGAATTCTGTCATGCCGAACGAAGATCAAGCTATGGCTGTAAATATTTTTCACGCAATCTATGCAAAGCATCTGCGTACCGGGTAAAACAAAACTTACGTAAAATCCCGACCGAACGCTCGCACTTGGTTGAAAGCCGGGCTAGCAGTAACATCGACATTTAGAAAGTTTTTAGTGCCTTTTGTAAACAGCAGTTCCGCTTTCCCTTCAGTGATAACGGTGTAGTCCGTCGTGTCTAGTCCAATTTTCCGTTTTGCAAGTGACTCCGACACGAGAGCAGTTGAAGCCGGCGAACGAGTATTTGATCGAGACGCACTAGAATCACTCTGCTGGTTGCACGCGTCTGTTACCTTATAATCAGAGTCACCACTTTGATTACGACTGAATGCGTCTTTATTACAGATATTCTCGTCAACTGCTAAAGACGCCATACTGGCAAGATATCAGTTCCTCACGACAGAAGATTATTAGGACTGTTACTGTTACTGTTATTGTTGTAGTGGAGAAATACAAGCACCGCCGCAAACATTTTCAGCCGTGAGCAGTGTCATACAACTTATATTGTCCGTATATTTGCCGATGTCATGGTTAATAGGTGATCCGGAGTTTTCAGTCCACTTACTGACTACGAAAAAGACAAAGACTAATATTTCACAAGGGGAGCGAGGTGTTTATATTTTTATATTGTCACTGCTTCACAAGGTTATCACACAATATACAATTAATTGCCACAAATATTTATCATTCTTTCATTTTGCACATGAAATCCAATACACTGTTTTTTGTTTATAAGAATTCTTTTTATAAGAATCATCGAGGCTCGATTTCCCAAATTTTAAGAATTTTTTAAGAATAATGCTGAGGCTCGATCATCAGACACACATTGTCACTCGATTCAACGAGGTACACGATGGCATGATGCGGTCGAGCGGCAGTGACTCCACGAGTACGAATAAAATCTTCAGCAATTTGAGCTTGATTGCCCACTAAACCATTCCAGATTGCAACACTTTTAACAGTTTTAATGAAAATATAAGTCGATTTTTTCAACAATTATTTAAGAATCATTTAAGAATTATCTAAGGCTCAAAATGTCGATTTTCTAAGAATCACAAGGCTAAAAAAAAAAAAGTACGATTCTTATAAACAAAAAACAGTGTATAGCAAAAATCGACTGTGGATCTAGCAACCATAGCAAACATAATATAAAAAACAGAAAATATTAGCAGTGAAAACATCATCATCATCATCAGCACCACGACACAAACCAGGGCCGTAAGCTGAGCAAATTCATGAGGGGGGGGGGGCAGTGGCGGATCCAAGATTTCAAGGTGTGAGAAACAGGTGGGATATGTCAGGTCCTTCTACAAAAACTTTTGAACATGTAGATTGCAGAAGATGGTCTTTGAGGTACTTTTGAGTACATGTACAGCATTCATTTTGTAATTTTGCTCCAAAATCTAGGGGGAGCAGTTGCCTCCCCCCCCCCCCGCAGGCTACGGCCCTGCAAACTTCCCCTTTATGATAGACCAATGGGTACAAATAACGCTCATAGGGTCTATGTACCCCAAGATACTGCCGGAACGTACCCTGGTAACTATCTGATATGGTTAGGGTTAGGGAGTAGGCGTAGGCGACTCCCTAGACTCGTTAGTGGAGTAGGCGAGGTACGGTCCGGCATATTAGATAGTACCAGGGCACGTTCCGGTATACCGGACCGTACCCAGGGTACGTTCCGGCAGTACCCTGGGGGACATAGACCCTCTCAGCACAAATAACCATTAACACTGGTATGAATAGATGAATATTCATATAAATCCCATTAAACCAGCCAGCCAATCATAACCAAACATTGGGGTTCAAGCCATTGATGTCAACACAGCTGAGATTCGAGATAGAATTTAGGTCATTTCTAAAGCTCTGCCAGTAATATCTAAATGCCATTCTCTGCTTTATCTTCCTGTGGTCCATAAAGATCAAGTATACTAAAATATAGGTCTGGCTATCTTATCAAGATGTGTGTAAACTTCATAAAAGATACTGAATATTATATTGAATATTCGTTACATTCAAGATATTCGTTTGACAGATTCAAAAAAACTTTTCAATATTCACTATAGTGAAGGAGTATTTAATTGCTATGGTACAAGGAAAATTGTAGTGCAGGTTTATCATTCAATCATAGCATAAAATTATCAACAATGTACGTACCTAATTCTAAGGAAATGTGGCACCTTTTACCGATTTGTGAGTTTCTATTAAATATTGGCATGTAAATGCTAGTTAACATGCAAGTTTACAGGGCTAATTCTTCAACAGTATAAACAACCACCAAGATTTTAGCTTGAAACTTGTACGTACAACAAGCACTGAAATGCAACAAAAGGAATTAAGTAATTTTATGTGTAACATTTCAGAACGCCTTGTAGTATGCTGGCGTGTCACTCTGAAAGCTTACATCCTCTGCAAGCATTCCATCCTTGTAGTCATGAGGTTTGTTACCATAGAGATCATCAGAGTTTTTCACTACTTTCACACCACTCTGCTCTGTGCCTGCAGGCTTGACACGACTGACCTTGTCAAAGTCGTGTGAGTAGCGGCATGACTCTCCCAGTGTACACTCTCCCTGAAACACAGTTATACACATAATGATAGCGATCCGGCAACAAACACAAAAATCCTTATAGAAAGATTTTTAAAAAGATTTTAAAAATAAGGTGAACGATAATTGAAAAATTTGCAAAAGTTAGTATGAATCTATTACGGCAGATACATAAAATATGAAAACAATACAAGATTGTATTGATAGAAGTGTGGAGTACAGTTCTCATTGACTCTCATAGACAACTGTCAATTTTAAATAAGCTTAATTAGGTTCGTGTTCCATGTGAATAAAATTTATAACTGCTACTCACCCGACTCATCTTTTTACAAGGAAACCTTTTCAGGGCATCTGGATTTGCTTGCCTTTTCTTTTTCCTTTTCTTGCCCTGGTTCTGCAGTCTCTTTGTTATCATATCTTCCCCACCATCATCCTGTTTCATCACCCCCTCTACACCTTCAGTAATATCACTCATGTCAGCATGCCTGGACAAAAGATAAAGCAATGGCAATAAGTTATAATACAAACTTTTATTGAGTCGTTGACAGTAAAGAATATGATTACTCGAGTGTCCATCTCCGCAATTAAATCCCAGTGAGTTGCCTTTATATAAACAATCTTGCACATAATCTATACCTCTTCTTGGCTTTAGGTCTTGGCCCCCAGTCTGGTTCTGGATTAGTCTGGAATCTCAAGAGACCTTTTTTCTTTGATGCTGGCTCGGCATCAGGATGTTTCTCAAAGTTAGCTTTCAATCTGGAGAATTAAAGGGATAGTAGACTCTAGGATTTTACTGCATACAACTGTACTTACTGTATAACAAATCGTCTATATAATACCCACATCTATTTGTCACCAGATACCTAATTTAATTGTTATAATTAATTACACATCAACGCTACGAAATTTGAACGGCGCCATGACACCCGCGACCGTGCTGCCACCCTGAAAAAGTTGCGTATTTGCCAATTTATTTTGCATGTTACAGACCGAGGGCTAATCACAAAGGTGCAATTATATTCATACCTAAATGCTATTTAACCGAACGATGTTCATTTTAGGACAAATTTATCCATAATATAACTGAAACTATATGTCGTTTATAAGATATTACAATCCTTTTGCTTTTAAATTAACAAGAGCCGCAGAGCGTCTGGGCTCATCTGAG